GCGGCGCACTCATGTCCACGCTGTAGCTGTGGCCATCGCTGCCGCAGGGTGCCAGCGTCGTTTGCAGCAGAAGAAACTCCCAATCCTCGTCGGTATACTCCTCGCAATCGTTGTACTTGCGCCGCTTCTTGGGCTCATTCTGCAGGCCAGCACTCAGCGAATCACCGCCAGTGCCGCCGCTCTCCTCTGCCTGCGGTGAATGTGGCACGGGTGTGGCGCAACGGCCATAGGTCTCTGCCGTTTCCATATCGGGCGCCGCCGTGCAGCCCATCAGCGCGAGCAGCGTACTCCGAAAGATTTGCCACTCCTGCTCGCTGCTGAGATCACGCGATCCGGGCGGATTGCGGGCGCTATACCAGCGGATGATAAAGTGCAGAAATTGTGTGGGATTCAGCACCTGCCGAAGCGTGGCAATGCAGCGCGTCACCAGTCGCGTGTCGTTCAGCAGCGGCAGGGCTATCCTCAGCATGCGTCCGGTGGCATAGACCAGCGTCAGACGATTACCCGCCGGATCACGCAGCGATTTGCATATGTTATGCGCCTGCCGGTGCGTGTAGGACACAACCTGGGGGGCAATCGGCGACAGCATGTGCAGCTCCTCGTCAAAGCTGGCCAAATCTGCGGGTGCCTTCGTGGGCAACAGGCTGCTGCGACGCACATCGCCAAAGGAGGAGCTGCCACCGCCACCGCCGCTGCCGCTGCTGTTGCTGCTGGTGGCTTTGGCTATGCCTGCTGCACCCGCTGCTGCTGCTGCTGCTGGCACAACCTTGGGCGTGGCCATCGATGTGGTGGGCACACTGGAGGCCAGCAGCGGCGTAATGTGCACCTTGGAGATGAGCACGGTGCCGGTGTAGAGAATGAGACTGCCGCCAGGATCCAGGACAGCAATCATGTGCATACGATTCAAGCCCACAGCATCCTTGGCCGGCAGCGTGGAGGCCATGGTCGAGAGCTGCACATCCGTGCTGCCATAGCCCGTGATGCGAACCATCTGCAGGCGGCAGGAGCGAGCCAGCAGATAGCACATGTACGTCTGACCCACCAGATCTGTGTGGATAAAGCCGCGTGTGGCCATCTCACAGAACTCGCGTTGCCTGCGGGTGGGAAGGACAGAGATAAAGAAATGGAAGTGGAAGGGAATCGTGCTATCCACATACGTGCCATAGGTATTCTCTGTCCAAATATGCTCCAGACACATCTCCGGCTCGATGGGCTTCGCTGGCTTCACGTGCGTCATTTTGCGCATATCCTTGGCGGACATGGACTGGCCCAAGCTGCTCTGCAGCTGACTGAGTGGCGTGCCCAGCGACGCGCGACTGCAAGCAAAAGGGCGAAAAAAGAAATTAAATTGGGAAAACTCTTGCGTGGAGGAGCTGGTACACTTGCTTGGTCTGGCCCAGGACGCCGCTGAATGACTGCGATTGGCTGAGTCCAAACTTGGATAGATTATGCCCCAGCGGTGTGTGCGTGGCAGTGGCCGTTGTGCTGGTGGTGTTATTCCTGCCCAAAAACGAAACATTCGCCGGCACTTTCGGTGTGGCTGGCAAAGAAAAAAAAAAATAAAATATAAAATAAAAGTAAAGTAAAGTCTGTCACTGGGGACTCACTTCCTGTGGCCTTGGGTGTGCTGAAGCTGGTGGCGCTGGACGAACGTGGACCGATTGTTGTGTGCCCCAAGTCCTGCTGCACAAGGTTCACCTCCTCGGGCGTCACCTTCCGCAGGCGCGCAACGAAATGCTTGAAGAATTTCGAGTCGTAGAGCAGCACCAGATCAGAGTCCTCCGTGGTGTAGATGACGCTGTATTCGGGTTCTATCACATAGCCGGTGGAATTGGTGCATGTCTTGAGTACCACCGGACAGGCCTCGTGCAGCGGATGGGACATGGAGAACAGCCGCGGCATGGGTATCGAGAGATTCGCGATGAGCGCATTGTCCGGATCCTTTTCCAGCAACAGGCCGTGCTTGGTCTGCCACAGGTGGCCGACGGGAAACTCCACGCTGGCCAGGAAATCCTCACCATCATTGCAATAGACGCGCATCGCATCCGAGTCCATCACACAGATGGCCTTCAGGCTGTCGTCCTCCGCGTCGATGGCCGCCTTCAGCTGGGCAAGGCGACCGCGCACGAAGCTGCGATTGAGAAAGCAGGCAAACTTCACCGGATAGTCGCAGGTGAAGCACATGCGCTTGTAGACGCCATCGTCCTCGTCGCCGAGGCCCTGTGTCCAGATGACCGTGTTCTTGTTCACATACAGCTCCTCCTCGTTGTTCACCATGTAGTCGCACATGGGCTCCTCGCGATGCTCCATCTCGGGGTTCAACAGGTGGCGCGGCAGCGTGGACAACTGAGTGGCAGCCGCCGCCTGTGGGCCGCATTTTTTCGTGTGCTCAATCAACTGGCGACGACGATGGTTGCGCTCGTAGCTGGCCTCGTAGTCATCGTAGATCTCGCGTATCGACCAGAACTCCTGCGGCTCCTCGGTGACGCCGCCGGCGGAAATATTCACGTTTTGGAGGCGCTGCAGCAGAAAGTGCTCGGTGGGCTGGTACTTGGACAGCGGCTGATCCGGTGGACCGGGATGCTCTTCTGCCGCCTGACGACCGCGCGGAACGAATTCCCGTGGCGGTTCTGCGACGGCTATCATCTCAGAAAATGCATCCAGATTTGCAAAGTTTACAACAAAAATCCCGCGCACGAGCACCGCTTTTCTGCAATAACAAATTCAATTCGCGATTAGTGTGGCCGTTTTAATTTAATCGATAGCCCATATTAACAATTGTATTTGTATGCCGTATGCATAACCTTTATACAAAAGTGCATTTGAAATGCACATATGCATTTGCATATGCATATGCAATATATATTAATGATAATAGAATATAAAACATATAATATTTCCTATCGCAGAAATTGCATTCCGGCAATCGATAGTTGAACAGCTGATGGCGCTGCCTGACCCTGCATTCAATTATCGTGGTCCGGCAGCACTAGTGCTATCGCTGCTATAAGTAAGTTGCAAAACAAAACTAAATTATCAAATTGGAGCCTGAATTCATAGAAAATTCGCTATACCGCATCATTTAATCGCCGTAAACTAAATCATAGTAAGGAATTGCCCACACAGCGCTTGCATCTAACAAATGTAAACGAGCCTGCCTGTCATTTTCATTACGTAATCCAAACAGCGCTCCACCACCACGCTCCAATATCACATCCCCATGTCTCATCTTGTGTTTGTTTTGCAGACTTATGGGCAGTAGTGTTGTCTCTCAATTGGCTCGAAAGTACGCTGCAGTGATATTCTTTCCCACTGTTGCAGTCGGCTCCATCTACGCAGATTGGTCGCACACCCGCAAGTGGAAACGCCAGCAACACCAGTTGGCACACAGCGCTCAGCTTAAGAGTCAGAGCTAGGAGGAAGCTACTTTGTCGATATCACGCTAAGATGGTGCTCGGCCTGGACAAGCGTGCCTTGTGGGCAATCGTGCCATTTTTCGGCTTCGCCCTTGGCCACTTCCTGGACAAGAAGGAGACGGAGCGAATGACCATGTTCCGCGACAAGAGCGCTCTGTACGCCCGTCCCGGTGGCAGCGCAAACCAAGAACCATCCTGGTGAGGGTGGGCAGCGCTGTACTTAGCATTAAACAACATGTTTTTTTCACTCTTAACTAATAAACCTTAAAATGGCTATGTGAAAGTTGACCCTGGAGAGTGCGATCTGTAATCTGTAGAGCCCACAATTCTGTGTACATGCCCGACCTGTACAAATCTGGTTGTGGTCAAGGGATAGAGAGAGAGAGTCTGGGACGCGAGTGTATACCTTTCTGTGACTTGATTTATTTATGTATGAAGGATTGCGTCTGTGTCTCGTTTGGGCCCATTGTTTGTTTTACACATGAAAACCATAAAACCATCAACACACGGGCCTAACATAACGATAAGCCAGGGGTCTCTGGACCAAGCAGAAGATAACATAACTCGTTTTCCCTCGAATTTACCTGGCTCTGAGGATCCTCCTTTTGCATGTTTATTTACACAAGTGGAAGCGAGACAACACCAACGACCCTCTGTGGAAGCTTCTGCCTGTGTGTGTGTTCGTGTGTCTGTTTTTATTAAGAACTGCGCAAAATACTTGTTTGGAAGCCATCCCGTTAGATTGCACTAGAATGTACAAGGCTCATCATATTCCATTCCTCTTCTGTCTCCGCTCAATGAAAATGCACTGGAAATACATATGATTATGAAATCTGAGTGGTAACATAATCCAATCCCCGCTTGAGAAGCGAACCGCAGTGCAGAGTATATAGCGTATACCATAACCAGACGGCAATTGAGAAACCAAATTGAAATGCCAATGCAACAAAACTAATTTATTTTTATGGTTAGGCTCGTGAAGGGTGGGGGTAAAAAGGCTCGGCTCGGGTTTTGTGTTCAAGAGGCAACAATAGCTAGAATTGCCAGGGCGTGCTGCGTCATGGAAGATTTTGATTGTGTCCAACGGTTCTATTTTGTACACAGGCTCTCCTGTGTCCCTGAAAATTCGCCTCACAAGTGCACGTTGCTTGCACAGCGGGGGGATATGGAGAGTGCGAGTACCACAAAAAAGGCGATTTGCAAAGTGCATATTCTCGTTTGCTTGCGCTAGAGTGCGACAACAGCAGATTACCATTCTTGGAAACAAACGAGAAATGCAGGAATATCATGGGATCAGTGCTGGCAGCAGGAGATGGCGGGAAAATGGCTAAGTAGTGCTGAATGCATACATATGCATGTATTTGTTTTATGAAAAGCATGGAAAGGCTTCATGAGTTACCAGTAACTTTAATTTTATTTATAAATTGTTAAATAAATATTTGTTCCCCTTCCGGAAGTTGTTTTAGACGTCATGCCAACTAGCTATTTCTTCCATATGTTAGCGGTAATGGAAAAGACCTAGCGGGAAAAAGACTAGGCGAGCAGCACTATCAATCTTTTCTGTATTTTGTTGTTTCCCTTTTCGCAGGTAGCTTGTTTGTGTGGGTGCGTCGGCGCAGCAGCCTTCGCTTTGCCCAAAAACCCGTATGAAGAGGAGACCAGCCTGGAGTTCAGTTCGGCTTCGGACTTTGACGCGAAAGTACAGATACAGGAAGAGAAATTAAGAGGAGGAGCAGAGCCACGAAAAGAACTGAATTACGCGTCGTCCGTCCCCCTACGATCGCTCCCTTGCACCCACACACGTACACAGAATGAGCGACAAGCCGCAGAATGTCGCCAGATCCGGAGAGGATCCATCGGACTTTGCCCACAAGACCCTGCAAGATTACGAGGTTCTGGCCGTAATGGGCAACGGCTCGTTCGGCACCTGCTACAAGGTGCGGGACAAGAGCACGGGCGAGCTGTTCGCCTGGAAGGGCATGAACTACGACGAGCTGGACGACGACAAGTGCGATTCGCTCGTCTCGGAGATCAGCATGCTGCGCCAGCTGCAGCATCCAAACATCGTGCAGTACTACCACCATCTGGTGAACCGCGAGGCCAAGTCCATCTACATTGTGATGGAGTGCTGTGCGGGCGGTGATCTCTCCCAGCTGATACAGCGGGCCCGGGCGCAGCGGCAGCGCTTCGAGGAGCGCTACATCTGGCGCGTCCTATTCCAGCTGTGCCGCGCCCTGCAGGTGTGCCACAACAAGATACCCAACGGCACCATCCTGCACAGGGACATCAAGCCGGCGAACATATTCCTGGACGCGGCTGGCAATGCTAAGCTCGGGGATTTCGGTCTGGCGCGCATGCTGCGGCGGGACCAGAGCTTTGCCGCCTCCTTTGTGGGCACACCGCACTACATGAGCCCGGAGCTGGTCAAGGGACGGCAGTACGATCGCAAAAGCGATGTCTGGGCCGTGGGATGTTTGGTCTACGAGATGTGCGCCCTGCGTCCACCCTTCCGTGGCCGCGCCTTTGATCAGTTGTCGGAGAAGATTGCGCAGGGCGAGTTCACCCGCATTCCAGGCGTCTACAGCTCCGACCTACAGGAGATAATTGCCTTCATGCTGGCCGTGGACCATGAGCAGCGGCCCGGCATCGAGGTGATTATCCGACATCCGCTGGTCGTGCGCAACATTTCGGAATTGGATGGGGAATTTCCCACTTTGGTGCAGGCTGGTGAGGATTTTAATGTGCCCGGCATGCCCGGACGACTCTTCGAGGATCTGCCCGAGCTGTCCAGCACCATGTTCACGGAGCAGTACAGCTTCAACGAGGACTACGGACAGCGACGGCTGAGCGTCACGGGTGTCTTCACGCCGGATCTGCGCAGCGAGCTCTTCTATTCGGCCAAGCGTCGCATCTTCCCCGCCACGAACAAGGTGCAGCAATCGGATCCAGCGCTCTACGAGAGCATTCGACGCGAAGAGCAGGAGGCCGATCAGCCGCAGAAGAACCGCCTGGACGAGGGTCAAAGGGAAAGTCAAAGTCCTCGCCGCCTCACGCAAAACATTTTCGATGATGTGCTGCAGACGCGTCTTCATGCCATCCGTGCGCAGGAGTCGCTGCTGCAGCAGAAACTAATCGAGCTGCAGGCACGCGAGAATGAGCTGCAGCTGGCCGAGAAGCGTGTCCAGGCGCTGCAGCGGGAACTGCTCGAGAAGCTGCACCAGCAGGCGCCAGCAGGCACGTCCTGCAAGTGCAGCCAAACGGCCATGGCAGCTCCACCCATTCCGCCGCGCAGGCCACACACAAAGGTGCACCACGATGACACCTACTGCACCATTGAGCTGAATGAGACCTCGCCGACGGTGGCGAAGCTCAATCTGGCCACACTGCCGGCGCCCAAGTCGCTGCAGAGCCACGCCAACACCCTGCGCAAGGTCACATTCCAGTCGCCACAGAAGTTCGTCACTTACGGGATTGAGAATGTCCCGCCTCCACCTGCTCCCGTTCCTCCACCCACTGTGCAGCCCATGCAGATGAGCGTCTCCAGCAATGATTCGGGCGACAGTCAGGCCTCCTCCACACGCCGCAAATCCATTCTGTCATTGTTTGGACTCAGTCGAGGCTCCAAATCGGTGCCCAAGCCAGCGGCTGCTGCACCAGCCAACCAGCTGCAGGCGCCGCAGCCTGCCATTAATCGATCGCGGCCACCATTGGCTCTGAAACCGCCGGCAGCACAACAGCCAGCGGGACCAGGACCGGCACCAGCACCAGCGGCACCGCTGGCCACACTCTGGACCAAGGAGCAGAAGAAACAAGCTTTTGAGTTGCTGGCGGCCATGAATGCGGCCGAGAAGGATGCGGCGGGTGGCGGCAGTGTGGCCGGTGGGCGTCGCCAGCATCTGCGTCAGTCGGTGCGGGAGCGCAACTCGACGATGCAGAGGAATCGCATGCGTCGCTCCCTGGTGGTGGCAGGCGGTGGCCCCCAGAAGCTGTCGTCCCGCGAGCAAATGCTGATTTAGGGACAATCCCAGAGCGTGCAGGAAGGAGTCGGGTGCCAGGAGCGGTTCGGAGCGATTCGCCCCTTGTGATGTGGAATAATGTTCCGTTATGCAAGCATACAACATACTATAACTAAATTTTTTTTTTGCTACTATTCCTTTTTTTTCAATCCTATTAAGTGTATTTTTAGTTGTAAGACCATGCCATTATCTGTGCAATTTGTAATGGGAATAATCAAACCTATTTGGCAGTACAATATATTGTACTGTATTGAATAAAATAAGAAAAGATTTACAAGAAATTCGCAATGTGCCGTTAAATTCAATTCAAAACGATTTTAGTGTTGTTGCGTGGCCAAAGATCAACAGCTGTTCGCAGTCGATAGGTGGGTGAAATCGATAGGTCGCACTTGTTACGCAAGCGAGCAACAGGTTTTTGATCTGATTCTGATTATATTCCACATCGTGTGATCTCTCGGTTTAATCATTTAATTGTCAACGTTCGTGATGTCCGCCAATCTGCTGCAGGCTACGCGCAACCTCTGCGCCCAGGCGCGTCGCTCGTACAGCTCCAAAATCCAAGATGTCTTGGTGGTGTCCGCCGCCCGCACACCCATCGGCAGCTTCCAGAGCCAACTGGCACCGCTGAGTGCCACCCAGCTGGGCGCCACGGCCATTGAGGCGGCCATTGAGCGAGCCGGTATCGCCAAGAGCGATGTCAATGAGGTGATCATGGGCAATGTGGTGTCCGCGGGCCTCGGACAGGCACCCGCCCGCCAGGCGGCCATCTTCGCCGGCCTGCCGACCAACGTGTGCTGCACGACCGTGAATAAGGTGTGCTCCTCGGGCATGAAGTCCGTCATGCTGGGCGCCCAGTCGCTGATGCTCGGCTATGCTGATGTGGTCATCGCCGGCGGCATGGAGTCCATGTCCAATGTGCCCTTCTATCTGAAACGCGGCGCCACACCCTACGGCGGCGTCAACCTCACCGACGGCATTGTCTTTGACGGCCTCTGGGATGTCTACAACAAGTTCCACATGGGCAACTGTGCCGAGAACACGGCGAAGAAGATGGGCATCTCGCGCGCGGACCAGGACGCCTACGCCATTCAATCGTACAAGCGCTCGGCCCTCGCCTGGCAGGCCAATGCCTTTGCCAACGAGATCGCCCCCGTCAAGATCCAACAGAAGCGCAAGCCCGAGGTGACCATCAGCGAGGATGAGGAGTATAAGCGCATCAATTTCGATAAATTCGGCCAACTGGCGACGGTGTTCCAGCGGGAGAACGGCACTGTGACCGCCGGCAATGCATCCACGTTGAACGATGGCGGCGCCGCAGTCGTTCTGATGTCCGCCGATGCGGTGAAGCGTGCGGGGCTCAAGCCTCTGGCCAGGATTGTGGCATTCCAGGATGCAGAGACCGATCCCATTGACTTCCCCATTGCACCGGCCTTTGCGGTGCCCAAGCTGCTGGAGCGCGCCGGCGTGCGCAAGGAGGATGTGGCCATGTGGGAGATCAATGAGGCCTTCTCCCTGGTGGCGCTGGCCAACATGAAGAAAATGGACTTGGATCCCGCCAAGGTGAATGTGCACGGTGGCGCCGTCTCTCTGGGTCATCCCATTGGCATGTCCGGTGCCCGTCTGGTCACCCATCTCGCCCACAGCCTCAAGCCCGGCCAGCTGGGCTGTGCGTCCATCTGCAATGGCGGCGGCGGTGCCTCCTCCATTCTGATCGAGAAGCTCTAAGGAGCTCCAGGGAGCCTGTGACTCTCCAGCCAGCCAGAAATGCATTTATTTTGTAACCGATTGCAATTTTTTAATGTTTAAATATTGTTATACAATGTGCACGTCCCTTTCTCTCCCCATCTATCTATCCCTTTCTTGAGCAACAAATGGAATTTTTTGTGATTTGCATAATAAAATTATGAAACGAAAATACAATTTTATGGCATTACTATGAGGCTGCCTATGAAGCTGTCTTATCTGTTAAATATAATTAAAGTAATGGTTATAAGCAGACTGCAGTCAAATTTAATTAATTTAACGATTTAAATTGTTGATCCCATTCGATATTCGCGCTGCCAACTGTCTTCATTCTTAGCTATCGATGACATCTGAAGTCTGCAAGCAATTGTTTTCCCCCATCACTATATGGCATAACGGATATTTATTTGAAAGTTTTTCTATTTTTACGTTTCTACAAAAAAAAATGTGTGTTATTCAGCTTGGAGTGTGTCCCCACCGGACCGACATGAGCTCCCAAAAGAAAACCATCAGCGAGCAAAAGTATAGGGCAGCGGCAATGGCGTAAATGCCCCAGAGGTCCGGCTGCCTGATGCTCTTCTCGCGGTACAGGAAAGTGCTGCGAAAATATTGCTCGCTGGCCAATTGACCGGCCCAGTAGTGCATGAGGCCGACGGCGCGAATGGACATGACCAGATGGTCGAACTGCACCACCAGATGCGAGTGCTTCGGCAGATAGATGGCCAACTGCTGCTCCAGAACGTACTGCGGCACAATGTAGTAGGCGCCCGCCTTGTGGCCACGCTGCGTCAGGTGCAGCAGTGCGTCCTGCGCGAGGAGTCCAAAGAAGTGAGGATGTGTGCCCGCCAATGCGCCCTCCGAGCACTGATCCAGCTGACGCAGTATCTCATCGTCCAGCTCGGACGCCACAATCACGGATCGCAGGTTGACAAACTGCTGCAGGCTGGACACCACGCGCAGATCCTGCAAGGTGATGCGACTCATCACAGCCGTATAGCCGCGCTCCACCAGCTCCATGAGGCTGCGCGGCAGCGCCTGGTGCACATGGTAGCGTAGGATCAGATAGAGCAGCGCCGAGTACATGGCCCGCATGATCAGCGTGAAGCAGAGCCAACTGCCGAAGAGCAACTGGAGGGAGGTCTGCTCCAGCGGGGCCACAGGCACGCCCAAGGCAGCACCGTACACTGCCAGCAGGAGGGAGACTCGATCTCCGACGCGCCAGCACACCAGCTGCAGAATGCCAAAGAAGCCGAGAAGGCTGCCCAGCAGAAAGAGCCAGGCAATGGTCTGGAAGGGAAAAAACCAAATCTCCAGGCTGGTCAGATTGTGGGAATTCAGCAGCAGGCAGCTGACCAGCCTGTTGGAGTAATGCGGAAACACGGCCGTCAGATTGGCAGCATACTGGATCCGCTTGCGCACATAACCAATGGCCAAATGGGCAATACGATCCTGCATCTAGGGGAGGAGGCAAAATAATAGGAGAAGACAGGTGGCAGCTGCTGGGGCTGATCACTCACCAATTGCTGCAACAGCTGCTGTTCCGTCCAGGTGGTGTGACTCTCCTGCTGCTCCTGCAATCCCCGGAAGCGTATGCTGAAATTCATCCGCTTGGCCAGCTCATGGAGCAGTCGACCCTCCAGGCCACGCAGCTGCTGCCGCCCATCCACATCGAAGAACGGCTGGACACGCCGGGCGAGCACCACCAGCGGGCACTGCTGCATATTGCGCAGCTTCGCGGGGAAGTAATCGCGATGCTGCCACGCGCCAGCCGCAAATCGATTGAACTCCGTGGGCATTGTGTCGCCGCACTGGCGATGCGCCGCATACGGAAAGTATGTGTGGAGCAGCACCTGGCCGCCAGAGCTCTGTGTCATCACGTTGCAGTTGATGAGCTGATGCCGCCAGCAGTATTCGAACACGCCCAGCATGTCCTGCGGTATCAGTGCATCCCGCTGCTGTAGGAATATAAAATAATACTCGTTGGCATCGGCCTGTGCCGTGTACGTGTGGATCTCAATGTCCCTGCAGCAAGGAAAAGAAAGAGAGAACAGAATGAGTGAAGGATTACCGAGCGGACCTTTACTTGAACCTACAGCAGTGCGTCCAGCGAGTCAACCAGCAGCAGATTGTGCGTACGTGGCCCCTCGATGCGCTGCCGGCTCTGATTGTGATTGTGATGCACCAGCTGTATGATCATTGTGTCCACGCTCTCGTACAGCAGCTGCATGATGTTGCGATAGAAATTGAGCGGACTGGGCCGACGGCAGGAGAGGATCACAATGAAGGCGGGGGCGAGGCTCTGGTAAAAGTCCTCGATGAAAACGCGCAATGCGCTCGCCACAAACTGATTGATGGCCGCCGCCTGCGTCTGGGCACCGCTGTACTTCATCGATTCAAACTGGAGCAGGCTGGTTATGTTCATGTCGCTCCGCCGTGCTGCTAACTAAACCCGTGTTAGCCCAGCTCTTCCAGCTGCCACCTGCCAGCTGCTGATCCAACGCAGTTCCTCATGTTTGCCTCTCATTAGTCGTCGCCGCTGGACGATGGTCGACAAAAGTCAAACAAAAACTAACGCCATTGTGAGGTCATGCACGGAACTGTCAAACAATTGCCTAAAAATATACCAAAGTAGGCTAAGGATGTGCCGATATGCCATCGTTAAAGGTGGTGGATTCGAGGGTTCGGCTGAAGGAAACCTCTTAAGAGCGCTCACTGAACCCTCAGCTTAAATTAGTTGGCAAAAGTCAACTAGCCTCAGGAGAACTTTGGATATTATGATGATAAGCTTACGCCAAGGAATACTCAGCCAGATGCTGGATGCTTTCACTCTTAAATGGATTCCAGTTCCATTCCAGACTCGTAGCTCCATAAGTTCAGAATGATATTTATGCTGCACCAGGCCCTGTTCTGTACCGTCAGTTTGGCGTAGCGAGTGAGTCCCATGTCAGAAAGAGTGTCCAGAAATATATAATATTTTTGTGTGTGTTTTCCCATAAACAGGAATCAATTGGATATTTGCTTTTAATTAGCTGAACATAAGATTAAGATCTAAGACGGCATCTGGCAGGTCAGTGCCCCAAGTTCATGCTGAGGCCAAGCCTCAGACCCAGAAGGAGGTTTGACGTCGCAACATGAACACCAGCAGCATTAGCAGCAGCGCGATCTACAGCAGCTATGTGGAGCGTTCCCGCATCGATCAGCAGGTGGAGGAGGCCAATGTGTATGTGGCCCAAGCGCTGCGGTATGTCATTGAGAATGTGCTGGCACAGTTGAGTGCCACGTTGGTCGTGACTATTTCGACGAGGGACAAGGGCACCGCCCGTTGGTTTGAGTATGTCATGAATAAGCTGGTCTATTCGTGGCGCGTGGCAGCTGTCCAGCTGCTGCGTTTCAGCACGGACATTGAGCGGTTGCGGGTGCGTGTGCCTGGCAGGAAGCGTTTAAATCTGCTGCTGGTGGACTCCCACGAGGGGCTGCTGTGAGTGCACTGCTGCTGCGGCTGGACTTGTTCCAATTGATTGCATTTTCCCTTGTTTGCAGCAACACAAACATTACCGAGGACAATGCGGACTTTGATGATCCGGAATATTACTTCATCTTTCTGCAGACGCGCGATCATCTGATACCCCTGGAGCTGCGACTGATACTGGACCATTGCCTGGCGCATTATTGGCTGCACTGCAACGTGATGATACAGACAGCCGAGGTGGATGTGCTCGTTTATAGCTACTATCCGTACACGTCGGAACATTGCCAGGCGGCACAGCCGGTGCTGGTGAATCACTTTGATGGCCAGCGCATGGTCAATGCGACAATGTTCCCCGATAAGCTCACTCAGCTGCATGGCTGTCCCATTTCGGTGCTCACCTGGCACCAGCCGCCATTCGTGGAGCTCGCCTGGAACGACGCGGATGGTGGGCTGCGTGCCAGCGGCTTTGAGATTCAGCTGGTGGAGCATCTGTCCCGCTTGCTCAACTTTACAATGGAGCTAATCAATCTGACGCTCGTCCAGCCGGAGCTCTATCGCCTGGCCAATGGCAGCAGCGAGGGACCCATGGAGTGGGTGAGTCAAGTTCAGTCCTGAATTAACCTTCACTGTAGCTCCTCCTCTGTCTGCTGCAGCTGCTCCAGCGGCGTGCCAATCTGAGTCTTGGTTACTTTCGTAAGACGGCGCGGCGAAATCAGCTGCTGACCACTGGAATGTCCTACTACTCGGCACCACTGGTGGCCGTGCTGCAGCGGGAGAGCTATCGATTTGGTTCGCTGGCGCTGCTCACGTTCCCGTTCGAGTGGTCCGTGTGGCTGATGCTGCTTGGCTGCCTGGCCCTGCAGATGGCCATTCGGGGAGCTGCACTGCCAGCGCTGGAGCTGCTGTTGGGTCAGACGCTGACGCGTCTGCCACGCTCCTGGCTGCCTAGGCTGGTGCTGGCCCACTGGCTGTATGCCGTGATACCGCTGAGGATCTGCTACCAGTCGCTGCTCTTCCATCTGATCCGCATGCAGCTGTTTGCGACGCTGCCGAGCTCCCTGGAGCAGTTGCTGGCGGAGAATTTCCATGGCTTGTGCACCGCCAATACCCTGCGAATGCTGCACGAGATGCCGCTGGTGGCGGGCCGCACAGAGAGCTTCACGGGCCTGGCCACACCCTACGACCAGGAGGTGCTGGACACGCTGCAACACGCTCAAGGCGGCAAAATCTTTGCCATTGCCAGCATGGACGTCGCGCTGGCATATCTGCGCTCCAGCAGCCAGCCGGACAGCTACCATGTGGTGGGTCAGCCAGTGAATGTGGAATATGCCGGCCTCTACATGCCGAAGCATTCGTATCTGTACGAGAAGCTGAACGAGGCCATAAGGCGACTGGATGACACGGGATTCATACACGCCTGGCGACGTGCCGCCTTTGTGGCTCACCGCCGGCAGCAGGATGTGCCATTGGCTCAGGAGCGGCGTCGTTACATCAGCAATTCCAAGTTGTCTGGCGTCTACAAGCTGCTGGCACTGCTGTATACCATTTGTGGCCTGGTCTTTGCCATCGAACTGCTGCTCCAACGCTGGACGTGGACGTTGCGTGGAAATTAGCCTCTGCCACGTGCCTGTGACCATTAATCATGGGTGAAAGTTTTACCCAGTTTTATCCTCTTTTTTTTTTTCTCTGCAATTAAACGGAAAGTCAAACATGGAGTAAATTGCTTGGCTTGTGACCCCCGTTCATGTGTGTTGGGTCATTCGTGTGGCAATCGGAGGATGAACATAACCGGTCTGCTCAGCTCGTACTGCGATCTGTCCGGCGAGCAGGAGAATCAAATAAACGAATTTGTCGCACGCGCCCTGCTGCACATTGTCCATCATCATATACTCAGCGTAACGCCCTCGCTGGTGCTCATCCTGTGCTGCCGGAGCGAGCATACGTGCAATTTCTACAACGAAATGATGAGCACACTCTTCCGCAACTGGGGCCTTGCACCGCTGCAGATTGTCAAGGTGGAGCAGGGTGTGCCCTGGCGTCCGGTGGCGGGACGCAGGCACTTCAATGTGATATTTACGGACTCATTTGCGGCCTTCTCCGAGATACGAATGGAGTACTATGCGCGGGAGTACAACTACAATGAGCATTACTTCATTTTCCTGCAGGCACGTGACCATCTGCTGCAGAAGGAGATGCGACAGATCTTCGAGTATTGCTGGCGCTATCATCTCATCCACTGTAGCGTCCAGGTGCAAAAGTCCAACGGGGATGTGCTCATCTACAGCTATTATCCGTTCAGTGAGCGCAGCTGTGCGGACATGTCGCCGCGTCTCATCAATCGCTACAATGGCAGCACACTGCTCGAGCCGGAGATCTTTCCCCGCAAGCTGCGAAATCTCTTTGGCTGCCCCCTGCGCTGTGCCCTGTGGAATGTGCCGCCATTTGTGGAGATTCGCTCCGAGAGCAGCGTCAGCGGTGGCTACGAGGGTCGCCTGCTACTCACCCTCGCCGAGAGAATGAATTTCTCCATTGCCGTGCGTCAGCTTCAGGGCAAGAACGTTCGCGACGAAGCCCTCGAGTTGGTGAGTCTTCCCGTTAATCGATTGTTGATATATTTGTAATCGATCTTTTTGCAGCTGCGACGCCACGAGGCCGATCTCACGCTGGGCGGCATACGGCAGACGGTGGACCGCAGCTTGATGGCCACCTCCACGCACAATTACTATCAGACACGCGAGGTTTTTGGCATCCTGGACTCCAGCTTTGAGCTGAGCTCGCTGGACATTCTCTTCTATCCGTATCGCCTGCAGATTTGGCTGGCCATTGCCGGTGTGCTGGCTCTGTCGGCGCTGCTGCAGCTGGCCATTGAGCGACTGCTGCGCGAGACGCGGCCCGAGTCGAGGCTCTGGTTGAATCTGGAGCTGATATTTGTGGGCATGCCGCTGCTGGTGGCGCCACGCTCGCACACCGGACGCCTCTACTGCCTGCTGCTGATGCTCTACACGCTCATCATTCGCACGGTGTACCAGGGACTGCTCTACCATCTAATTCGCACCCACCAGCTGAACAGATGGCCGCAGTCCATCGATGCGCTGGTGCAGCAGAACTACACGGTGGTCGTCACGCCCGTGGTGCACGAGGTTCTCTCCGAGATACCCAGTGTGCAGCACATGACCTTCCGCATACTCACCGACGTCGAGGAGGGTGCGGCCCTCGAGTATCTCGTAGCCAATCCGGAGAAGAGCCGCCATGTCTCTGCCTCTGCGCTGGACATGTACATCCACTTCAATCGCCTGAGTGCGGAGCGTGCACAGCGGTTGGGCCAGCACACGGGCCAGCCCGTGGAGGCGGATCACTTTGAGATCATTGCCGAGGACATTGTGAGCATGCAGATGACAATGTACCTCAGCAAGCACTCCTTCCTCATCGATCACCTCAACGATGAGATTATGTGGATGCGCTCCGTCGGTCTCATCTCCATTTGGGCACGCTGGGAGCTTTTCGAGAGCTATCTGCGCAACGAGCAGGCCTTCAAGCAGCTCGGTCTGGTCGAACTCTATGCAATGTTTCTGCTCGTGATGCTCGGTCATCTGCTGAGTTTGTTCATCTTCCTGCTGGAGCTGCTGTCCCAACGTTTGGTGCAACTGCAACGTCTGTTCTTGTAGGAGTCTCTACACCCCCAACCCAACCCGCTGCGGTGCCCGACGATTTGTAAACCTCTTACGGGCCGACACATGCCGTTTGCATGTCGCCTGACACTGACTGCTCGGGGAGGGTGTCGGTGTGGGAGGGGCTGGGCCACAACAAAACCTTCGCCCTCTGCTGTCTGACGCATGGCACAACCTGTACGTGTGTCCGTGTGTGTCGCGCGTTGATGGTGTTAATTAATGGTTATGCGCCTCTTGCATAATACTGACACCGAAACCTGTCACGCACATGCCCCATAGCCATGGTGGGGTTGTGCTTGTGGACCCACCCCACCCATGTGTACGCGCAGCAATTAGTTTAAGTGATGAACACAGATTTGTTAATGCATTTCAGGTCACAGTCACGGCTTCTATGGCTTATCAATCGATAGGGAGGGCATACAGTTCGCCTCACAATCGATAATTCATGCTGGCTCTGAACAAATGTGCCATAAGCGAAAGGCTATCGTAAAAGAAAACTCACTCCCTTCACAAACTCAATGCTTCTACAAGGAGACATTATCATCCTCTTCTTCATCGAGAGAATTTGCATCGGGCAACCACACAATGCCATCCATTGTAAAGAGAGTAAAGTTCCGGTTCCGGTTCGACATTACGCATCATAAACATCATCCACTCTTCCTCTAGGGTGGCCAAATCCATCTCAAAAGTGGCGTCGTCTGAGTATTCCCCAGTGAACACATATGTGGCATGGGAGCGGCGGCCTATGTCAAACCAATAATCGGTAGCATCCGACTGGGAGCTGTACTCGTCTCGGATGTAGAAAACCTTATGAGAAATAAGTGAGGTCGGCTTAAGCCTATTGACAGTTAAGTCAACCACACTGACAGCTAGTGGGCAGGAGTTGATTTTTTTGATAGATCTATGCGAAAATGTACCAAAACTTGGCAATCTTTTCCCAAAATTATTTGTTTGTTTTTGGCGATAATTAGCCAATTTAATGCGACAATTTATCGACACTAGTAGGAGCTGACAAAAAATTCCAATTTGCACAAATCGAACTAAAATAACACCGTGAACTACACGAGGAGTGCTATCATGTTCCGAAGGTGTAACGAATCGAGGACCGCTACCTGTTGAAGGCAAACGCCTCCTTACGGGTCGAGCACGAAATGGAACATTTACGTCCACGCGGTGTCGGACAAGAGGTCGTCTAGGTTGTTACCGAAACCCAACATTAAGTCGACTTTCCTGAACAGGTCAGTCTGCCAGGCAGCCGCTGGCTGGCAGGCCTCATTGAAGCCAACAAACTGCAAGACTGGCGGCAAATCGTCAATGGTGCCCGTGACGGCCGAGCTCAATGTGAGATTTGCCCGACGATCTAAGAGCATGCGATAGGCGCCGGTCATGGTGCCATTTAGGTAGCTGGAGCCACCAACCAGCTCGGGCGGTTCGTTGGGCAACAGCTGAATGGTAAAGTTCATTCTGCTCGCCATTATCCTCAGCAGCAATCCATCGAGGCCATCGACTTGATCTACGCCCCGAGGCTGCTCCCAGTGTAGGTTCATGTACGGCGCTATTGGCCAGTGTTAGTGCGAGTCGCCTGTCGGTACGTACAATGAGTCAGCTATCCCCTTGTAGAGCGCTTCTGCGGTGAGGGCAACCCCGTCGAGGTGCCCTAGTCACAACCGTGTCGACGGCCGACACATACCGTCTTTCCGTTTACCGACGTCGCAGCTAGAGAGGTACACCCGGTCGTCGTCGTCGTGTAAGTTCAACATGTTTTCTACGTCTTTCACCCGTTTATAGACCCTGTACGGCGAGGCGACGTGTGAGTGGAGGCCGACGCTACACTCGGTGTGTTAGTCCATGTACGGGAACTAGAGGTTCCGTCTTGTCCGTCGAGACGTTTACCTAATACTAATGAGGGTACAAACCAGAAGCTAAAATGTTGAGTGTAACGGACGCGACCTGAGACCTGTTTCAGCAGCTGCAGTCGGACACGGACACTCAGCTCGGGGCTGAGCTGTGAGGCCAACACCACGGGCAGCTCCTCACGACTCAGACTGTAGTCCAGCACACAGCGCACCAGAGTCGCCTCCTTCTCGTCCAGATGCTCATAGTCCGTGCTGATGAAAACTCTCAGATTGTGGGCGGCACAAGTGTTCACGCGAATGCGATGCAGCACATCGGTATAGAAGGATTGGTTGCCGTCTACGCCGCTGAGAAGCTGCCCGGTTCGTCGTTGGACGTGGACCTCGTCACGGTCCTACACCTCGTGTACTTTGGGTCGTGACCTGTCGAGGTACAGCGACCGGTTTGACAAAGTGTAAAAACGTGGTAGCTTCGCCAACAAGAGAAGGTTAACGTTAAAGCGTTAGCTAACTTCCGGCGAGGGAGTGCTGAACGTTCCCAGTGGAATCTGTTTCAATCAATTGCAAAAATATCATACTTCCATGCCACGCAAAGCGTTTTTATTCTTTGAAAAGAACTTTCAAGGGTTCTCAAGCTACTTACGAACTGGGTTTGACCAGGAGTTTAAACTCTTACTAGTAAATGTCTGACGAGTCTCGGTGTCTACAATAACTTACCCAAATGAATGACCAATGTGCTTACCGGAAATGCACCAAATTAACGTCGGTCGCGGACTCTGTTTTGGACCTAATTAGCCAATTTTATGCGATAGGGAAAAGGCTATAATCGTTAGTGGGAGAAGAACACGCACTATCGATACATCGATAATTTATCGACACTAGTAGGAGCTGACACAAAATTCCAATTTGCACAAATCGAAAATTTTATTGTGGCACTTGATGTGCTCCTCACGATAGTACAAGGCTTCCACATTGCTTAGCTTCCGGCGATGGACAACTTCCGTTTGCGGAGGAATGCCCAGCTCGTGCTTTACCATGTACATGCAGGTGCGCCACAGCCTGTGCTCCAGCAGATCCAACAATGGCTTTGGATTGTAATTCAGCTGATAGGACTTGTCCACAGTCTGCCAGGCAGGCGCTGGCTGCAATTAAACCACGTAAAGGCCATTCGTGTAACCAGTAAGTAAACCCATTCAATAACATCTGTGGCTCTGAGCAGTCTGTAAATGATCATTCTCAAATTTGAGGACCAGTTTGGGTCAAGCATTCATCGAACTCTTGGGAACTTTCAAGAAAAGTTTCTTAGTTTTGCGAAACGCACCGTACCTTCAATGATATTTTTGCAATTGATTGAAACAGATTCCACTGGGAACGTTCAGCACTCCCAGCGGCCTTCAATCGATTGCGAAATTGCAATTGGAAGAGAACAACCGCTTCGATGGTGCAAAAATGTGAAACAGTTTGGCCAGCGACATGGAGCTGTCCAGTGCTGGGTTTCATGTGCTCCACATCCTGGCACTGCTCCAGGTGCAGGTTGCTGCTTGGCCCGTCGAAGAGTCGCCGCATCTGCCGTTGGTTAGGAAGATTACCGATGTGCTGCATCGCATTCGCGTGAACACTTGTGCCGCCCACAATCTGAGAGTTTTCATCAGCACGGACTATGAGCATCTGGACGAGAAGGAGGCGACTCTGGTGCGCTGTGTGCTGGACTACAGTCTGAGTCGTGAGGAGCTGCCCGTGGTGTTGGCCTCACAGCTCAGCCCNGCACATGAAACCCAGCACTGGACAGCTCCATGTCGCTGGCCAAACTGTTTCACATTTTTGCACCATCGAAGCGGTTGTTCTCTTCCAATTGCAATTTCGCAATCGATTGAAGGCCGCAGGGAGTGCTGAACGTTCCCAGTGGAATCTGTTTCAATCAATTGCAAAAATATCATTGAAGGTACGGTGCGTTTCGCAAAAATAAGAAACTTTTCTTGAAAGTTCCCAAGAGTTCGATGAATGCTTGACCCAAACTGGTCCTCAAATTTGAGAATGATCATTTACAGACTGCTCAGAGCCACAGATGTTATTGAATGGGTTTACTTACTGGTTACACGAATGGCCTTTACGTGGTTTAATTGCAGCCAGCGCCTGCCTGGCAGACTGTGGACAAGTCCTTTCAGCTGAATTACAATCCAAAGCCATTGTTGGATCTGCTGGAGCACAGGCTGTGGCGCACCTGCATGTACATGGTAAAGCACGAGCTGGGCATTCCTCCGCAAACGGAAGTTGTCCATCGCCAGAAGCTAAGCAATGTGGAAGCCTTGTACTATCGTGAGGAGCACATCAAGTGCCACAATAAAATTTTCGATTTGTGCAAATTGGAATTTTGTGTCAGCTCCTACTAGTGTCGATAAATTATCGATGTATCGATAGTGCGTGTTCTTCTCCCACTAACGATTATGGCCTTTTCCCTATCGCATAAAATTGGCTAATTAGCTCCAAAAATAAAAAAATAATTATGGGAAAAGATTGCCAAGTTTTGTTACATTTTCGCATAGATCTATCAAAAAAATCAACTCCTGCCCCTGGTTGACTTAACTCTCAATAGGCTTAAGCCGACCTCACTTAATTCTCATAATGTTTCCTACATCTCACAATCGATAATTCATTTTGGTTCTGAGCAAATGTGCCATAAGCGAAAGGCTATCGTAAAAGAAAACTCACCCCCTCCACAAACTCAACAGTTATTCAAATTTATTAACGAGAAATGCTTCTACAAGGAGACATTATCATCCTCTTCTTCATCGGAAGAATTTGCATCGGGCAGCCACACAATGACATCGAGTGTGAAGCGAGTAAAGTTCACATCGGCTACCAATTCGTATTCGTGAATGGATGCATCGATCATAAGAGGTTCCGGTTCGGCATTACGCATCATAAACACCATCCACTCTTTCTCTAGGGTGACCAAATCCATTTCAAAAGTGGAGTCGTCTGAGTATTCCCCAGTGAACACATATGTGGAATGGGAGCGGCGGCCTATGTCAAACCAATAATCGGTAGCATCCGACTGGATGGTTTTCGATCAATTCCTCCTTGGGTGCTCACGGTGGAATGAAAGAGGCAAGTGGCCTTGCAGCTTGCTCAAAACTGAGCACACGCCGTCAATAATTAGAGCCGACATTTTCCTATAGATTAAACACATAAACGAATCAATTTTTTTTTCTCAAATTATTAAAAAAAATAAGAAATAAGTGAGGTCGGCTTAAGCCTATTGAGAGTTAAGTCAACCACAATGACAGCTTCCCATAATTATTTGTTTGTTTTTGGCGATAATTAGCCAATTTTATGCGATACGGAAAAGGCTATAATCGTTAGTGGAAGAAGAACACGCACTATCGATACATCGATAATTTATCGACACTAGTAGGAGCTGACACAAAATTCCAATTTGCACAAATCGAAAATTTTATTGTGGCACTTGATGTGCTCCTCACGATAGTACAAGGCTTCCACATTGCTTAGCTCCTGGCGATGGACAACTTCCGTTTGCGAAGGAATGCCCAGCTCGTGCTTTACCTTGTAAATGCAGGTGCGCCACAGCCTGTTCTCCAGCAGATCCAACAATGGCTTTGGGTTGTAATTCAGCTGAAAGGACTTGTCCACAGTCTGCCAGGCAGCCGCTGGCTGGCAGGCCTCATTGAAGCCAACAAACTGCAAGACTGGCGGCAAATCGTCAATGGTGCCCGTGACGGCCGAGCTCAATGTGAGATTTGCCCGACGATCTAAGAGCATGCGATAGGCGCCGGTCATGGTGCCATTTAGGTAGCTGGAGCCACCAACCAGCTCGGGCGGTTCGTTGGGCAACAGCTGAATGGTAAAGTTCATTCTGCTCGCCATTATCCTCAGCAGCAATCCATCGAGGCCATCGACTTGATCTACGCCTCGAGGCTGCTCCCAGTGTAGGTTCATGTACGGCGCTATTGGCCACACAATCACGCTCAGCGGACAGCCATGCATGTTACTCAGTCGATAGGGGAACATCTCGCGAAGACGCCACTCCCGTTGGGGCAGCTCCACGGGCTCAGTGTTGGCACAGCTGCCGGCTGTGTATGGCAGAAAGGCAAATGGCTGCAGCGTCGATCTCTCCATGTGGGCCAGCAGCAGCAGCACATTCAAGTTGTACAAACGATGCAGAAAGTGGGCAAATATCTGGGACATGCCGCTCCGCTGCACACTCACCTCCGGCTGCGATGTGAGCCACACAATCAGGTACATGCCCTTGATCTCCAAGGCAGAACAGGCAGCTCTGCAAATGGATTATGATTACTCCCATGTTTGGTCTTCGATTTTACAACTCACATTGCCTGCGCTGGACTCTGGACAAAGAGCAGCTGCAGTCGGACACGGACACTCAGCTCGGGGCTGAGCTGTGAGGCCAACACCACGGGCAGCTCCTCACGACTCAGACTGTAGTCCAGCACACAGCGCACCAGAGTCGCCTCCTTCTCGTCCAGATGCTCATAGTCCGTGCTGATGAAAACTCTCAGATTGTGGGCGGCACAAGTGTTCACGCGAATGCGATGCAGCACATCGGTAATCTTCCTAACCAACGGCAGATGCGGCGACTCTTCGACGGGCCAAGCAGCAACCTGCACCTGGAGCAGTGCCAGGATGTGGAGCACATGAAACCCAGCACTGGACAGCTCCATGTCGCTGGCCAAACTGTTTCACATTTTTGCACCATCGAAGCGGTTGTTCTCTTCCAATTGCAATTTCGCAATCGATTGAAGGCCGCAGGGAGTGCTGAACGTTCCCAGTGGAATCTGTTTCAATCAATTGCAAAAATATCATTGAAGGTACGGTGCGTTTCGCAAAAATAAGAAACTTTTCTTGAAAGTTCCCAAGAGTTCGATGAATGCTTGACCCAAACTGGTCCTCAAATTTGAGAATGATCATTTACAGACTGCTCAGAGCCACAGATGTTATTGAATGGGTTTACTTACTGGTTACACGAATGGCCTTTACGTGGTTTAATTGCAGCCAGCGCCTGCCTGGCAGACTGTGGACAAGTCCTATCAGCTGAATTACAATCCAAAGCCATTGTTGGATCTGCTGGAGCACAGGCTGTGGCGCACCTGCATGTACATGGTAAAGCACGAG